CTGCCGACTTATCAGCCAATCACGGAGTCGCCAGTTTGCTTTCTTTTCAGCCGGCTTTCCAGTATCGAGAATCGCTTGTACAACCGCATTCGCGGCTTGCTTTGAGGTCATGCCCCCGAAACGATCTATGTCTGCAGCAACGAAGCCTTTTTCAGTCATAGGTACGTCGTCACCACTGCGCGGTACAAGCGGCAAAGGTAGTGAGCCCTTCTTGGCAGATACGACGACTCTGACTGGCTCATCACCGACGTTCTTTCGCCAGAACGCGTGGTCTCGAGTGTCGTGACCTGGTACACCCATTACAGCGCCAGAGCCATAGTCGTCCAAAACGTATGGAGCCACGTATATAGGTACAGAGGGTCCTGTGGAGCCTTGTATGTGGGCGAGGGGATTGCGCGCTACAATCTTCCGCAGCTTGAAACCCTCCTTGGTGTCTGGGGGGAGCTCTGCTGCTCGCTCCATGAAGGCGCGGAGCTCTGCATCCTCGATGGCTAACTGCTGAACGATTGGGTGACGCAAAGAAAGAGCGATATACTGTACTCCAAAAAGCGTGTCAGCTCTGGTAGTAAAGACATCGACGGGCTCAAAGCGCATTTCACTATCGGTCGAGACGATATCGAACCAAAGTTGCGCGCCTTCAGACTTGCCAATCCAGTTCCTCTGCATGGCAAGAACCTTCTCAGGCCACCTGCCGTCTCGTGCAAGAGCGTCCAGATCCTTTAGCAAGGGTTCCTGGAACTCCTTGATCTTTAGAAACCATTGCTTCAGCATCACCTTCTCGACCTTTGCACCGGAGCGCCAGGAGCAGCCATTGGCATCTACTTGTTCGTTTGCGAGGACGGTTTTATCGACGGGATCGTAGTTCACGAGAGATTTGGCTTGGTAGGCTAGGCCGCGCTCATGGAGCATGAGGAAGATGCGCTGGGTGTGTTTGTAGAAATGGGGATCGCACGTTCGTATTTCCTAGATACAGAGATCAGCCCATGCTTGAACATATTGAGCGTTTTCCATACAGCGTCCCAGTCCCAGCGTCCACCCATTTCCTTTATCTGACTCTTCATAGTCTCGATGTTTTGTAGCGTCCACTTCTCCGGGTGTACCCCTCGCTCGATGGCCGCGTTCTCAGCCGGTAGACCAAACGCATCCCAGCCTATGGGATGTAGGACCTTGTAGCCCTGCATGTGCTTGTATCTGGAGAGAACATCGGATATCGTGTATACCCGCAGGTGGCCTAGATGGAGGGTGCCCGAGGGGTATGGGAACATGGGCAGCACATATGCGTCTCCCCTATCGGACTTCCGTAGGTCGTGCCATTGGGCAGATAGCTGGTCCCAATGGGGTTGCCATTTCGCAGTGAGCGATTCGACCTTGATTCCCTCAGCTCTTGACTTTCTCTCCAGCGTACTCGCCCATCGTAGGGCTATGCGCGGTCGGGAGACTGGGAGGCGTGGAGGGCGACGCCAGCCTACGGACTGCAGACTGAGACGACGCATCACCTGAGCGTATGCGCATAGCGTGGACGTGTCGTATTCATGGTCTGGAGGATGCGCGGATCTACGCCAAGCATCCAGTCCTGAACGACTCCCACATTTTTTGGATGCAGCTCTAGCGCTCGAACGGGAGCTAGTCCCATGACGGCATAGGAGCCCGTCGGTTTCAACAGCGCATGCAAGCTGCACCACTCATACACGGCAGCGGTGAATGCTTGAAAGGGGTGCTGGATACTGCCCCTACACTCTGCCTCGCCCTTCATATCATAATTACCGTCCATGGCTAGCAGATAGGGTTGCGCGCATCTCTCCCACATTCCCTCCGCACCATGGCCGCCGGTCGCTACTCCAACCTCCCACCGCCGACTCGCGATTCCCTCGAACTCGCCTCGCTGGCCTCCTCGTCGCACCCTTCACGGCGGACTTCCGAAGAGTCTTCGGCCTCAGGCGCGCCTTCCTCGCGTAGACTGTCGTTCGATGATGAAGACCCTCTGTCGGAACTGAATCCGGCTGGTCACGATCCGAACAGACCACGGCACAATCGCTCCTACAGCGTGTCCTCCGCCTTCGATTTCGCGCCGAACTTGTTCCCTCTCTCTAGTACCGCGCAGGGTTATACAGCACTGGGCGCGCCCTCCAATCCAGCATTAGACCCGTCGAATGCGCTTAACGGCGGCTCATTGGAGAAGAACAAGAGCCTTACATACCTCAATGGGCTGTCATTGGTAGTTGGGCTTATAATAGGAAGTGGCATCTTCTCTTCACCATCTCAAGTCAACAAGAATGCTGGGTCGCCAGGCGCGTCTCTCATAGTCTGGATCGTCGCTGGAATACTGGCATGGACGGGTGCCGCGAGTTACGCCGAGCTCGGAGGCGCCATACCACTCAATGGCGGTGCCCAAGTCTATCTGTCTAAGATATTCGGAGAGTGGGCGGGATTCCTGTTCACATGGTGCGCAGTCGTGGTGCTGAAACCGGGCTCGGCAGCCATTATTGCCATAATTTTTGGAGAATACCTGGTGCGCGCTGTTATTGGCGCCGAAGCTGTGGATGCAAGCACATGGTTGAACAAGGGCGTGGCTTTGGTGGGACTTGTGGCTGTCACGCTACTCAACTGTGTGTCCACAAAGCTCGGCACAAGGAGTGCCGACGTCTTCATGTTCCTGAAGTTCTTTGCACTTACAGGAGTCACAGTCATCGGTATCGTAGTTGCGGTGACCGGGCTTTCGTACAAGGGCGACGCGAATGAGGACTGGAAGAATCGCGGCTGGTTCGATGACACGAGCGAGAACGTTAGCAACTGGGCAGTGGCACTCTACGCCGGGCTCTGGGCCTTCGACGGTTGGGACAATGTACGTCAAGCGATTTGAAACCCTGCCCACTCCTACTAACGACACCAGGTAAACTACGTCACCGCCGAGTTCAAGAACCCGACCCGCGACCTTCCCCGCGTCATCCACACTTCGCTCCCGCTCGTCATACTGTGCTACATCTTAGCCAACATATCCTACTTCCTCGTCCTCCCGACCTCAGTCATCGAATCGTCCAACACCGTCGCCGTAGCCTTCGGTTCGCAGGTCTTCGGTCCAGTCGGCTCGCTCATACTCGCGCTATTCGTCTCGGGGTCATGTTTCGGCGCACTCAACGCGACGACCTTCACATCCGGCCGCCTAGTGTACGCCGCCGGTAAAGAGGGCTATCTCCCCGCCCTATTCGGAAATATCGGTTTAGGAAAGAACCACAGAGCAATCCGCTTGCACAGCATGAACGCAACGCAAGGGAAGAGCAAGATACCAAAGAAGCTAGTAGCCTGGTTCGCGGATGCTGACGCAGGCTTCTTCTTCACGCCCATATCCGCCATGGTGCTCAACGCGCTCCTCACAGCCATTTACATCGTCGTCGGCTCCTTCGACACTCTCGTCACCTTCTACGGCGTAGCAGGATACGCCTTCTATTTCCAAACCGTACTCGGCCTCATCATCCTACGCGTCCGCGAACCCGATCTAGAACGGCCATACAAGACATGGATAACCACACCCATCATCTTCTGCTGCGTCAGTCTCTTCTTGCTGAGCAGAGCCGTATTCGCAGAGCCATTACAGACTTTACTCGTTGTAGCCTTCATGGTAGTAGGCCTAGTGATTTGGTTCGCGTGGGTGGGGAGACGAAGAGGGAAAGAGCAGAACAAGTTCCGTATGCCGGAAGAAGGCAACGAGAAGGTTGGCTGGAAGTTCTGGCAACGCTGGAGGCGATGAAAGAGAGAACTACCGCAATTTTGTTGTATACTAAGCGTCATGGTTGTATAAGATTACGTAGAAATGAAGAAATGATATCAACGTGTACGTATTCTGTTCCGTAGTCGTCATCATCTGCGTCTTACTTTGCTCAGGCCTTCAGATATCTCGTTACGAGGTACGATGTGATGTCGGCTTCGACTGGCCCGGTCCATAATAGCAGACTGGCAAGTCAAGACCCTAGCATCGTTCGTCTCAAGTCTGGTATTCCAAATCACATCCTGGTCCGCTCGAGGCCAGCTAAGCCGGAACCCGGGTGGAAACTTCAAGCGTAGATCTCTCGTTTTCCATTCGCCTCCTGTTTCGAGCGGAACGCATGATGGTGTGATGGGCACGTGGTCGGAAAGAGTGGCCGTGAACAGGTTACCCCAGAGATACTTACCGTAGACTCACGAAGATATCGGCGGGATATATCGGACGTATCAATTACGTGACAAGTCGGGGACGACAACTCAGGTGAAAGTGAATTCCGCAACGGAGCAGAAATTATCATAGTGTATGATAGCAAGGCAATATGGAGAAGGTTTTTATTTGTTTATATTTCTGCTCCTTTCAATCTGATCAAAGAGACTAACAGAGAATCGGGCTATACTACTCAAAGGCTCAACACCTTCTATCTCCTCGGGTTATTAACAAGAGCTCATGGAAGAGGCAATGGGGGTGCTAAGCGAGACGTGAAGAAAGATAACAGTGGGAAGACAAGGGGGGGAAGAGAGACGAAGAGGAAGAGGAAGAGATGGAAAAGGTGATGGTGTGGGGTATAAAGAGCGGACGTGCCGTGCTCATTTCCGTAGCAGGGTGCGCAGCACCGGTGGTTCGTGAATGAATGTTCGTATCGTAAGCGACGTGACGGATGGAAAGTCGAGAGACAAGACCTTGCCTGACCTGACCGGAAAGGGTCTGAAGTTCCCATGAACCTTCATGCGACAAAGGGCAAGCTGGGGTTGGGGCTAACACCCTGGCCAATGTGCCGAGACGCTGTGTCGCAGGAGGTGTTGCGCAAAACATGAAACCGAAACCGTAACGCCTGTGTGGGTATGTTGCCCAGACGCGAACCACCCAGAGTCGCGAGAGCAAAGGAAACAAGAAATTTAGAAACTCGCGTCTTCCCAGTTAATCGTACAGGCGGCTCGTTGCCGATTCCGGTCTAGCAGTAAGAAAGGAAATAGGGTTGGGAAAGGTACCCTCGTGCGTTTCGTGTAACCTCAGGCTCCGCTTAGATCCAGCCGTTGTTGCGTGGCGGGTTCCGTTGCATCGTGCCCGCGCCAAGTGGAATACGGGCTGTGGGTGACGGAGCGGCATGGCCACTGTTCGTTCGCGTGAGGTTGTTAACTGACGCAGGTGTGCCTGGCTGCGATGATGTTGTAGGTGAACCAACTGATGTAACGGGTGTCACAGGGTTCATGCGCAGTCCGCTGATGCAGGCAGGTTCGGGGACAGCAGGCTTTGCCGGAGTAGTAGAGGGTTGAGGGGAGGCTGGCGACTTCGGGGGTGGGGAGGGTAGCACCTTCTCGCGTTGGGCCTGGAGGTAAGCGCTAGATTGACCTGCCGGTGTGATGGGGAAAGGTGGAGTCCGCGCTGGGCTGTTCGCTCTGGGTCGTGTTGGCGACTCACCACGCGGGGGAGGAGGGGAGAATACGCTGGAGCTAAGCATCTCCTGCGATGGCGATGTGCTGGTCGTAGAAGGCTTCTGGATCGGAAGAGCCAACGAAGCTTCACTGCTGTCGGTAGCACCTCGCTTCAACGGAGGGGTATCTCGTTCAAGCCGTGTGCACTTAGCTGCTGCAAGCGTGGCAGGCGCAACTGAGAAGCGGAGACCAATTTGGACGGTTGCACTGCTATCGGTACTTTGCATGCGTTGGTGCCGTTCTGCAAACGGTAGTTTGGGCTTGCTCAGAAAATCCCAAGCGTCGCCGACATTCGTGACCGAGCCGCGTCGAGTAAATCGTCGCAGGGCAAGCTTGGAAACAGAGGAACCGTCTGAGGTAGCTTTTGGATCGTAAACGGTTGGTGGAAGACGAGGTACCTCCTCAGCGCGTGTGGGAAACAAGGAATAGCTTTGGCTTTGCTTGCGTTCGTGTATCGTAGTTTCGTTGTCGAGAGCAGGTGGAAGAGGCCACTTTGTGGGATCGATAGGGCTTCCAGGTTTGGTCGATGCCGGTGTCAAAGCCCGCTCTGGTCGTTCAAAGTACTGGGGATCAAAGTCACCACGGTTCTTTTCTGGCCCGACATCGATCAGACCCTGTTGACTGTGTAAACGTTGAGTTGTCTGCAATGCCATCGGGCCACTGATCTGCATCTCCAGATCGCTAGGGCCGAAGAAACGGATCTTTGGCCGTTGTTGTTTCGCGGGCGCCTTTAGTTCTTCGATGGGACGAATGACCATTCGTGTCGCGTTCGTACGGAGGAAGAGGTGGAAGAACGTGATGACCATTCCTGACGAGAACAGCGAGATTTCAGCGACTCGAGAAGCGGCTAGTGCTTCCATGAATTCTCGGCGAAGGGACTGTACTTCCACAGGGATGACGAGAGTCTATGATTGTTAGCTTGGACGGCTAGAAAGGTAGTGTAGATACTCACATAGATTAGAGCGGTAACGATCAAGAAGTAAGTCATACGTGAAGCTGAGATTCGCTCATTATGGTCCAGGTCCGGCGTTCTCATCAGCTGAATACTGATCATAGCAGCTACTAAGAGCAGCAGGAAAACAAGAATTGAAAGGAAGATCAGCATCAGAAGATCATATCGCATGGGGAACCAGATGAGCCCGCCAAAGCAAGTGTTCGGTGACGGCCAGGCAACAGTCGGCATCCAGGAGAGAAGAAGCATGAACGATACAACGGCGATACAGATAATCGTGTTCCACTTGCCGCGTGGGGCGAATCGGTCTTGTTTGTAGGCTCTGACTGCTACCTCGATACCGAAGACCAAGGTAATGAATCCGATCAGAAAGATAGCTGCTGTTCGTTAGTCTAAATGTTCGCAAATGCAGTGTATGCGAGCATACCAGGAAATGTGACCATCGCAAGTCCGCGGCAACTTCTAGAGAACACGCTATGAAGTGTAGTGCCCTGCACTGATACGAAGATAATTTGTTGTAGAACGGCACCGCAGGCCAACGCAAGGGGAAAGGTTTCGGCAGGGTGGACATTGTGAAGAGCATTGAATCTCCTATCTCTCGTTAGCAATGTCGCAAACTCCGATCATGCTATACTGACTTCTTTCTTGGGAGAACCTGGAGAGCTGCAGCTCGTCGCGCATCCGACACGATCCGATGAACCGTCAACAAGGTCAAGGCAAGGCTGAAAGCTCCAAGGGTAAGATGTGTCGTCCGAAGCGTTTGTACCTGTTGAAGCTGTAGGCTCGCGATGAGAGTCCTCGTCGTGTTTGATTGCGTCCAGGGAACTTGGCGAACAGCTGACGTGTTGAGAGTTAAGTTGAAGTGCGATCGGACCTCGAGCTGAGGGAAATGGTCGGCCCATGATTCCATCTCGCCGGCTCTAGTTACAACGGGTGTAGAAGGAATAGAATTGTCTCGCTGGTAACCAGCAGCGGCTGAAGAAAGGAAAACGACTAGGTATTCATGGAGACCGTGTGACTGACGTCGTAAACGAAAGAGTAACCAGCTCAGCGTCAAAGAAGGAAATGGCTAAGCCTGCCAGCAGAGCAACGAAAGAAGGGGAAAGAGCGTGAGCATTAGACGTAAGAGACAAGAGACGGGTATGAGACTCCAAACGGTATATGACAAAACCACTGGGCGGTAGCTGCTGCGCACGGTTTCGGAACAGCGGTCCTCAGGCGTCTATCCGGTCATTGGCTGAAAAGACCCGCATTAGCAAAGATCCAGCCAGTTCATATTACAGGTCGCATCTTCCCGCAATGGGTGGGAGTGGGTTTCAACCTCATGCGAGCCACCCGCATTTTGCCAGGTAGCCCGGCCAGCGGAAGCAGCGAAACCCGCGTAGGCACCGTTGCGCCGAACAGCAGCCACCTGCCTTGGAAAGCCTCTTGTCGCTCTCGTAGCTGCTCTGATATGGACCGGGTTGGACAGGTTCAGCGCGACGTCATTGCTTGACGTTGCCGTAGCGGCCGTCTCCACATGGCCCGCTGGTGAACGTGCATTGGTTCTCAACACCGCAGACCCATCTTCGTCAAGTCGTTCGGCCTGCTGAAGCGCGCAATTTCATCTGACGCTGAGCACTATACTTGGGTTCCTGGACAGCTATTTCCAGCGCGGAAGCGCTGATGTAGACAGTGGCGCATCGTCGGTGGTGGTGAGGTGGATGTGGTCGGACTAGAGTTCTGATGCTTGCTGGGTTTAGACTGTGCCGCAGATCCTCGCTTCGACCCTGTCCGAGACACAGCGAACTCCAGAACCCCTGCCGGGTCAACGTTCGCCGGGGAAGCCTCGCAAGCCCACGACACGTCCGTAGCAAAGATGGTTAGCTGGAAGGTATAAGCAATATATTATAGAAAACGGAGGGTGATGTGTAAAGCCACGAGGCATTGCTGCATTGGGCCTAGTGCGCAGGTCGGTTTACGCACGCGACGTATAGGAACGGTTCGCGGGCGTGAGATTGAAGGATGCAAGACCCATCAGCATGCAAGACGGAAGGAACCGATTGAGAAGCCCAGATGGAAGATCGTGTGTTATCGCAGCCCAGCGCACCTGGGCCTCCACAGAACTGACTTTCAAACCACTGGTATCGCCGAGTGGTAGAGGGTTGTGCTGCAGAAAAGCAACTTACTCGAGACGTAAGTCCAGCGCCGAGAGCGCGACACCACACGGTGATCAGTATTCACATCATTACACTCCCTGGTAACCGCCGACAGGTCTAATCAAGGCGCCTACACAGCGGGACAATCACGTCTACACCCAAGCACTCCAGACGTCTCGTCACAACCGCCGTGGTCTGAAGTTTGATCTGGCAAGCCACCAAGACCAAGATAGACCAGAGAGGGCTTTGCAAATCTTACTACAACAGGCAGTGTACGAAGTTCGTCAATGCATTGTGGTGATCATACTAGGAATGGGAACTTTCCAGAATACGAAGGCACAGCCTCTACGTTGCCACAGCCACAGCACGAGGCACAAGGGTGTGCTTCATAGTATTCTCCGATAATGCAAATCATGGGCCAGATGGATACAAGCAGTCTAATCGGGTCTTGTGATAAGGATCAGGCCTGATAGGACTGGAAGTTGTAGACTGGGACTTGATTTTGCTGCTCACAGGTGTCTTGTTGAATGACACGGTCGTGACAGGAGGGTATTATTTTTTGGAGGGCATTGAACAGGCCTGCAGCCTGCAACCTACAATAAGCCAGGAACAAGCAAACAAGAAAATGTAGCGTTGATGAAGGCTCCACGGTGTTCAACTTTTCCCTTGAATGGGACTGATACACAGTGCTGCGCAAGGCCTGACTCAAGCCGACTTTGCAAACTCTTCAAGGTACGAGACGAGTAGCTTGGTGCCATCTAGCGAGACGGCATTGTCTAGAGCACGAAAGAAGTTAGCCTGAGTCACTGATGGGGCTTTTCCCCAGGCCGTATCCTAGATCGAGTACATTCGGCCAGGTCGGCCAGAAGCCGCGTACCCAAGCATGCCTTGTGAAGGCACGACTCGAACCATGTCTGACAGCGGGATCAATAAGACGGGAGTTATAGGCTCACTTACAATTACTGGCACGGATGCCACCTACGCTGCGGTGTCCTTTCAGACCTAGCAGGCCCTTCTTCTCTGCGCCTGCAAGGAAGGCCTTCTCTTTGTCCGCATCTCCACCGTTGACGCGGAAGCATATGTTCATTCTACTGCGTACGGACTTGTCTGGCACTACCTGGTAGACATTGGAGTACTTCTCGAGCATATCGTAGATAAGCCGCGCCTTCTCGTTGGAGACATCCTCTTGACCACCGATGCGCTTGGCACCATAGGAGCTGACGAGTCCGGACATTACCTGTCCAGCCACCCAGACATCGAAGATGGGCAGTGTGTTGTAAAGCGAGTTGTTTTTCGCGATGGTGGGGTAGTCGAGCACAATGGGGCCAACCGATAGGTTGAGCTCTCTCATCAGGTCGGGCGAGGCGGGTGTCGAGTGTGGCGGAAGGAGCGACTTCCGCATGATGACGATTGCGATACCCGTGTTGCCAATGTTCTTTTGGGCGCCGCCAAAGATGATGGCGTACTTGCGCACATCGACCTTCCGGGAGATGAAGTTTGACGACATGTCGGCGCAGACCAGGGGTGCATCGTCGCCCTCAAGGCTCTGCGGGAAAGACGGGAACTCGACTCCGTCGACGGTCTCGTTGTCGCAAAAGTACACGAAGGCTGGCCCGCCCTTGGAACGCGGAGTGAGGCTCCACTGGTCTTCCGAAGCGATCTTGCCAAATTTGCCGTCGTTGATTTTGCGCGAGTCGGTGGCCACGTTGACGTGCTTGGCTCCTACAAGACGCGCAGCCTCTTGCGATGCCTTGAGCGACCAAGAGCCGGTGACGAGGTAGTCGAGTTTGAGCTCCTCGTCGACGACCTTGCGCAGCCTCTTCAGCACCTCATCCTTGTTGTCGCCCACCTCTTCGGCAATCTTGGCGCGCTTCTTCTCGACCCATATCGAGACGAGGTTGTATACGGTCGCACTGAACTCGCCGCTGCCGCCGCTCTGGAGGAAGAGAATCTCGTAGTCGTCCGGGATGTCGAGCAAGTCGCTCAGCGCCTTCTTGGTGTCGGCAAGAATCTCGTTGGCTTCTGGGGAGCGATGGGAGATTTCGCAGAGGCCAATGCCCTTGTCTTTGTAGTTCAGAAGCACCTGCGAGGCCTTCTCGAGGACCTCGGTGGGCAGGGGTGCGGGGCCAGCGCCGAAGTAGTTGACGTCGGAACGGTTGACCATGGTGACGACGGGCTTGAAGATTAGTAGTGGGTGTGCAGAGTTAGTCGGAGATACTTGGGAGAAATTGATCAAAGAGGGGCGGTTTGTCTGGTGCAAGTCTTCTCACGTCGCGTCATACGGATGACTCCAATGCCAACCTCTTACCAAAAGTTGCTTCCGATCTCGGGCTAGCATGCAACACGCAGGCGTGGACATGGTGGCTCCCTCATGCAGAGTACTCAAATATAGTGCGCCCCGGATCCTACAAGCTCCCCGCGTGGGAGTTGTGAGCATTATGCGAAGTCATTGCAGGTGTCCGGCTGCACCCAATGGCAGGCGCCGCAAGTCCGCTGACGCCGGTTTCGGTGCGCGGGTGGGTCGCGAATTTTGGTCTGGGGATGCGCATCACTGCCGTCTGCTGCAAACACCACATTGCTGCCAGCTCAAGCACCACCACAGCAATGGCCATGTCGCTACGGGCAGCCCGGCTCCTGGGTCGCAGGCAACTAGCAGTATGTCGGGAATGTCATCGCCGGCCATGTATCCTCTAATGTCAAATGCAGCCCCGGGCAAGTCTTGCTCTTCGTGCCGCCTCGCTTTCGCCTCGACCGTGTTTCGCACCCCGATCCTTTGCCACGACCGCCGCCCGTCGCGATGCCCATGATGTCTTTCCCTCGATGAAGGAGAGCCCGGCGGCCAGCTTCCTCTCCTCGCTCAACGAGACGCCCAAGACACCCCAGACCCTCACCGAGAAGATCGTGCAGCGACATGCCGTCGG